AATCGCTGAACTAGACTGGCTAGAGATGCACATACATTTCTGTCCCAAGCTTCGTAACTCCAAAACCTGCATCCAGTCCTAAATTTCCCTTTCTGTATCTTGTGATCCTTACACTAGAGCAGCGGTTCTCAGCCTGTGGGTCGCGACCCCTTTGGGAGTCGAACGACCCTTTCACAGGGGGCGCCTCAGACCATTGGAAAACACATATAATTACATATTGGTTTTGTGATTAATCACTATGCTTTACTTATGTTCAATTGGTAACAATAAAAGAACATCCTGCATATCAGATATTTACATGACGATTCATAACAGTAGCAACATTACAGTGATGAAGTAGCAACGAAAATAATTTTATGGCTGGGGGTCGCCACAACATGAGGAACTGTATTAAAGGGTCGCGGCGTTAGGAAGGTTGAGAACCACTGCACTAGGGTGACTTCATGGGGGAAGGATCTTCAAATTGTGTGACCAAACAGGAAAATCATTCCTTTTTAATTATAGAATAATTGCATATTCATTAGGGTCAACAATCAACATTTTTTTTTTTTTTGGTTAATCCTCACCCACAGAAATTTTTCCATTGATTTTTAGAAAGAGTGGAAGGGAGGGGAAGAGACAGAAACGTGGATTGATTGCCTCCCACATGTGCCCTGACAGGGTGGGAATCTCCAACCAAGGTACATGACCTTGACCTTAATCGAACCCTGGACCCTTCAATCCAAGGGCCAAACCGGTTAGGGCAAAGTATTATGGTTTGTTATCATAAGATCCTTTCAATACAACAGCACCCCCAAAGTTTAGCTTTTTTTATCTTTTTAAATATATTTTATTGATTTTTTTACAGAGAGGACGGGAGACAGACAGAGAGTTAGAAACATCGATGAGAGAGAAACATCGATCAGCTGCCTCCTGCACACTCCCCACTGGGGATGCGCCCACAACCTAGGTGCATGCCCCTGACCGGAATCGAACCTGGGACCCTTCAGTCCGCAGGCCGACGCTCTATCCACTGAGCCAAACCGGTTTCGGCAAAGTTTAGCTTTTTAAATGAGGTTCTAGTTTGTTCTGCCTATAACTGTCCTAATACAGTTTTGCCTTGAAAAAATAAACATGGTCTGCCTGTATTTGAACAACAGTTCAGTACAGGCACTGTGCACAGGGCTTCACTCAATCACATGCATGTGTCACACTTGTGAAGGGTGTTG